GACAAAGAAAAGATAAACTACACTAACAACAGTTTTCCTTTTCATGCATTTCATTATTTATATACAACAATTGTTTATATATACAATTATATACAACAATTTATATACAACATTATTTATATACAACAATTGTATATACAACAATTATTCTACAGTGAAATTTCACTATTTTACAATTTAAAAAGAAAATATAAACATCTAAATGTAGTGCTTACTCTGTCAGATGATAGGATAGACTCCAGTGAAGCAATATATATGGAATTCTGAGTCTGCTATCCAGTAGACACGATAGTGAATAAGTAATTATAATGATGTGATGTATACTCTATATGGCTAAATTATAAATGTCTGCAAAAGCCTATATTTTTGGTATGGCAATATGTCCACTTTGCATTAATAAGTTAGGAAAACGTGTTCCAGAACAGTGAGCAGAATATGATACATTTTTAAAGCAAATGTTTACCTGCAGACAACATGTAAGTTATAGAAAATATTTAGCAATATTTTCTAAAATGATAGCAATGTGTATTTCTACATTAAAAAATGGATGGTTTTTGTAAGTATTTTATTTTTATAAACTGTCAAATTTTTCTACATATATCTGCTTTCCTAAAAAATGTGTAGAATTTTTTTATAAAGAGGAATGTGAGCAGACTCAGAGACTCCAAGAAGAAACTAGTGGTTACCAAAGGGGAGGGGTGTGGGAGGGAGAAAGGGATTGAGGGGTATTATGATTGGCACACGTGATGTGGGGGGGTCACAGGGAAAACAGTGTAGCACAGAGAAGGCACATAGTGACTCTGCGGCATCTTACTACACTAACGGACAGTGACTGCATTGGGGTGTGGGTGGGGACTTGATAATATGGGTAAATGTAGTAACCACATTGTTTTTTCATGTGAAACCTTCATAAGAGTGTATATCAATAATACCTTAATAAAAAATTTAAAAAAAAAGAAATATGAGCATGATATTTTCTCAAGAAAGTATTACTTAAAACTACTTAGTGTAGAAAGGTGGTTATAACACACTTGGTGAAAGAGCTAAGGTTTCAGATGGTTCCCGAGATCTGAGTGCAAGTTCACCAGTCAAAGAAAGAGGGTATCCTTGGTGGAAAAATCAACAAAGATGAGGACTCAGAAGTAGTAGAAGAACGTAGGATGCCAAAGGAGGGGTGAAGGATGAGTTATGTACTATTTCTGAGGAACAGTTATGAAAGATGAAATGGGAAATATTGCTGGGAAGGTGGCCTGCAGCAAAATGCCTACCTGCCTCTGTTACCATGCTGAGGTGGGAATTCTTGAGAAACTCCTCCTTGAAATTGAATAGTGAGAGGCTCCCAGATGCCACTCTCTGGCATCATCCAAATTCTACGCAAACATCCTGGAACTCCATCAGGCTGCCCCTGATGGGCACTCACCTGGCGTCAGGGTACCCAAGCACCTTCAAAGTTACTCCCAGAACTGAACCCACACATTTCTAGCTTTCAAATATTAGTTTATTCATTCAATCATTTTATACAACAGATATTTATCATGTGCCTCCAGTATGCCAAGAACAGCTCAGGTCCAGGCTTTAAGGAAGTGAGTAAAGCAAAGCCATTGACTCTGTGGTGTCACCCACGATGCTGGTTGCCCTCAGCATGTTCCCTCTCCACATGGTCCCATTCATTATCTATCCTAAGCTTGTTAATGGCTACTGACCTCTGATAGGGAAAAATGGAAGTGGCAAGGTTCATATGCCCTGGAATTCACACAATGTGGCTTCAGCCCTGTTCCATTGATTTAAGAAAGTCATGAGGCCATCCTAAATTGAAGGGGTTGGAGAATAGAATCATCTCATGATGAGGAAAATGGCACGTGTGTGGAGCAGAGGGAGGGATAATTGGCAGCCATTTTTGCAGATGGTCAACCACAGTTGATAAATTATCAGATTGACAAATGTTCAAAAGCCTGACAACATACTCTGCTGGTGAGATTATAAGGAAAAAAACACTCTCAGATATCGCTAGTAGCAATGAAATATGGTATAACCACTATGGAGGGAATCCTTAGTATCTAACAAAACTAAAAAGGTATTTACTCTTTGACTAAGGTAACTGTACTTCTACTAATTAACCATAAGAATTATCAATAGAATTGTCCAATTTAATAAGTGAGAAAGAAAAACAATGAAGACACCCTCAGGTACTGGTGGAACAATGAGAAGTCTAACATATGTGTAGTTGGGGTCTCAAAATGAAATAATAAATTTACAGATTCAAAAAAGCTCAGTGAACCTCAGAGAAGATAAAAACAAATAAAGCTATGCCTCATGCATCATGATCAAACTGAGAATCAAGAGAAAAAAAACCCTCAAAAGCAGCCAAAAGAGGCAGGGAAGTAAAATACAAGCAGGTAATCAAGACTTATACCTCTTCTTCTAACTGTTAAGTATGTAATGGTATCTACCCTTGGACAGTAGTTAAATACCCTTGGACAGTAGTTAAATAGGATTTAAAACTCTGAAATTATAGACTTATGAAAACCTGGGGATGCATATAGTTTTAACATAATCCTTTTCATAAAAAACAAAGCTTTATAAATCATAGGTACATTATTAATTATAAGTATGTTCCTGTTGAAAATGGGTTTAACATTCATTAAAAGGCTAAATTAGGTGGGAAAAGCTTGTGTATCAGAGCATGTGGAATAAAGCAGGAGAGAAGAGGAGCAGGAGGAAGGGTGGGAGATGGGATATGGTTTAGGGACCCAGCCCATTTGGGAGGAGGGTGGGGTTGGCGGAGACAGCTCTGTCCCTGGAGCCCTAGTGTGCTTCCCTCAAGGGTTCCATGAGAGAGGATAAAACGTCCAGCTCCTGAGCCACAACAGCTAAATTTTATTACAGATCTCAGATTTCATGCCTACGTCTTTCTGAAGTCTCAGGCTAAGTCTGGTGAGTGGATTAGACATCTGGGGTGGGGTGGGTCCAGGATCAATGTAGAGACTGGGCTAGTGCAGTGTCCCAGACAGGCCAGAGGCCGCAGGACCCTTGGAGACTATGGATGGGTGCGCACACAGGATAGTAAAGACCAGCAGTCTGGGTGGGTATGGCAGAAGTGGAGGGCGAGGTCTAGGGATGGAGGGGGAGAGCACCTAGGCAGTGGAAGTTACTGACGCGTGGCAAATAGCCGAGTCTTCAGTAATCAGCAAGTGCTCTACAGACTAGAAAAGGGAAAACAGAAAAAACACATTTACTTAAGACTGTGGACCACTCTTGGAAACACATGGAAAAACCCTGAGAACTGGCAGGGAACTGTGGTCACCTCTGCTGAGCCAGACATTGGAGGGGGCTCTCGGGAGGCAGCCAGGACATCTGGGAAGGTGTGAGAACTAGGGACCCTTTTCCTCCTCAGAAAGAAAAATCAAGGCCACCAGGAGAAGGAACTGGAGTGGAAGAAATGTTAAAGAGCATAGATTTATCTTAGCCACTGAGCTAGATGTTTTAAGATACTCCTTCATTTAATATCCTCAGAAACCTCATGAAGAGGGTGTTTTATTATTTGCCACCATTTCTTCATTCTGATGAAAATGGGATTGGACATGGCTGTCTTCTCAGAAGGTGCCTTCTGAGCCCATTACACTGGAATACTTTACTAACCTATCTGTTTACATATCCACCATTCTCTCAAGCCATAAACCCAGTTAGGACTTGAGAACGTGCCTGAAAGAGTCACTGCTCAAAATATACTTGCTGAATGATGAGGCTCATGGTAAAGTATACTAGGAAATAAATCATGAAAGTACCTGTTAGTTTCTATCAACAGAAGAATCTTCCAAATATCAAGTTCTGACCCCCTCCCCACTAATAATGCCTATTTTTTCCAATTTCAGCCCTTTCTCAGCTTAGCTCCCTGAGATGTGTGCAGCAGGAAGATCTCAGGCACACAAGCCCCATCTGCTACCTCTGAAAGCTATCTTAGTGCCCTTCGCAGGTAAGCAAGGTTTATGTGGCAAAATCAGAGAGATTTCAAACTCATTCCTATCAATTACTAGTTATGAAATTTGGTGAGTCTTTCACATTCTCTGAGTCTCACTTTCTTTAGATGTGGAGATAGCACACCCTCCCAGAGTGCACATCTGCACCCTATAGGGAGAATATATAAAGTGACATGTGCAATGTGCATACTGCAATCCTTGGCATAAAATGATGCTTAATAGATATTACTTTAATTTCTTGTGACTGTATTACATTCAGATCTATTCTATTCCTGGCACACAGCTGGCCTTTTAACATTCAGTCTCTTCAGTCCATTACTGTTCCAATAAACCTTCAAAGGTGATTGTTCTAAACTAATAGCTTCAAGACAACTAATGGCTCCCCCTGTGTAAAGGTTGGAATTCTAAGTGTGAAGTTGGGATCAAGGCCCTTCACCATCAGGAAAATGCCTGTCTGACCCTCGCCTGCCCTCTTCAGAACCCCCTGTGCACCTGTCACCCTGAGCTGGAAACATATCACATACATCCTGTGCGTTGATCTGTATATTCACCTTTTCATATGCTGCCTCCCTTCTCTTCATTCTTCACTTTATGATAAGCTAGTCTATTCAAGGTCAAGTTCAAGTACCACCTTGTCATAGTCTCTGCAGGTATGCATAATGGTTTCCTCTGTATATACATAATCCTGTTGGAAAGTGAAATACATACAATAGTATCTTATTTTGATTAGCTGGAGATAAGTGTAATTGGCTGTTACTCACATGAGCCCATATCTTATCCTTTCATCTCTGCCTATTTTCTATTATTTGCATGTTTAAAGGAGTGGGGTGTATGAGATATGCAAAAGCTTTGGTGAGTTCACAAAGATATTAACATCTTTTTTTGGTATCATTAATATACAATTACATGAGCAACAAGGTATTAATATCTTAATATAATTCTTCACAAGAGTATATTTGAAAGAATATGTATTTTCCTCCCTCTATGTACAGGAAGTGAGATCCCAGATCATCTGCGGCAGGTATGACTTCCTTAAACCACACTGGGGTTAGCCACACAGTCTTCCTCTTGCTGGGCATCCCTGGCCTTGAGGAGCAGCACATGTGGATTTCCATCCCCTTCCTCATTTCCTATGTCATCGCCCTGCTTGGGAACAGCCTGCTCATCTGCATCATCCTCACAAAGCGCAGCCTCCATGAGCCCATGTACCTCTTCCTCTGCATGCTGGCCGGAGCAGACATTGTCCTCTCCACGTGCACAGTGCCTCAGGCCCTGGCCATCTTCTGGTTCCGTGCTGGGGAGATCTCCCTCGATCGCTGCATCACTCAGCTCTTCTTCATCCATTCCACCTTCATGTCTGAGTCCGGGATCTTGCTTGTGATGGCATTTGACCGCTACATTGCCATATGCTACCCACTGAGATACACCACTATCCTTACACATGCACTGATTGGGAAAATTGGTGTGACCATCTTTCTGAGAAGTTTTTGTACACTTTTCCCCATCATATTTCTTGTGAAAAGACTGACTTTCTGCCAAAATAATGTTATTCCACACACCTTTTGTGAACATATTGGCTTGGCCAAATATGCTTGTGATGACATTTGGGTGAACATTTGGTATGGGTTTTCCATCCTAATGTTAACAGTGGTTTTAGATGTTGTGCTAATTTTTGTTTCCTATGTGCTGATTCTCCATACTGTCTTCAATATCCCTTCCCGAGAAGCTCGACACAAAGCTCTCAACACATGTGGCTCCCATGTCTGTGTCATCATCTTCTTTTATGGGCCTGGGATCTTCACAATCCTTACTCAGCGGTTTGGACGCCACATTCTACCTCATACCCACATCTTGTTGGCTAATGTCTGCATGCTCGCTCCACCTATGCTGAATCCCATCATTTATGGGGTCAAGGCCAAGCAGATCCGGGAGCAGGTGGTTCACATGTTGTTTACAAAGCAATCACTTTGGTCTAAGAACTGAGCTTCCAGGATCTCTAGCTATCTGTGAAGTGGTCTGTGGAAGTGGTGGGTGGATGGGGTCAGCTAAAACACTAGAAAGAGTTCAGGGAGTTCTGTTTCTGAGGCAAGTTGACCAGGGAGGTTGCAGGACTTACTCCTACTACAATATCCTATTGTCAGAACAACCTGAGAGGGTAGCACCTTGTCTGACTGAGCAAGCTGCCTCACCAGGACCCGGGGGCAGGATGAACTGGTTTTCAGAAGTCATGTATCTTAATGACCCCAGCATGAGCTTTAGAAGTAGATGAATTGAGAACAGGGCTCTGGCCTCCTCTCCTCACTGAGCTTCTCCAGCTCTGACATCTTGTGACATCTCTAGACAATCACAGACAAGCCTCTAGTTCTTCTGTCCTCCATTCTAGCTAAATGACAGTCTTAGAATCAGTGGCTCCTAGGCTTGACATATATTAAACTTTTTCCTTGTTGTAAAGATGGAAGTAGTGATCTTCAAGTTCTAAAACTGCACTTATTTGATATTCTTTTCTAAATCTGCCATAATTCTCTTTCACTGGAAACTCTTTTCTTTCTTTGGCCAGCTAGGCCCCCATTTTTCAGGTTGCTTGTCCTCATTAGGACTTTTGAGTGACAGAGGACTACTTAGCGGTACTGAGATGGGCTCCCCGGTCAGGAAGGAAGTAGGGCCTGTCCTGTGCCTCCAGTGAGGCACAAGGTCAAATGGTGTTGTGACACTTCCCTGGGTCTTCTGGCATTTTTCATTGCCAACTATCCCTTGTGCACTTCTAAACTGAGGCAAATAGAATTAATGGACTACTTGATGAGGCAGTGTCTGCACTCATCCCTTCTCTGGCAGCAATTTTTCAGTCCCCCATCTCCTGTGACATTTGGTGAGGGAAGGGATTCCAAATCGGGCACCTCCAGTCTCTCTCCGTGTTGACACAGCACTCCCTCCAGCGCTCATCCCTGGGAAGGAGGAAATGGGTTTCCATCTGTTTCCCTTTGACCCCAGCATGCAGGTCATCCCATGGCTTTAGGGCCTGACGTGCTGGCTTAGGAGGAACAGCCTGCATTCCCTTGAATTATTATCAAGTAACTCTCAGAGCCATTCAGGCCTTCCATTCTTGGAAATTCTCAGGTTCCCAGTTCAAGATGAGAAGCTGGTTACAGAGGATATAGGACAAAATGCCAAAAACATAAAAAGATGTGCACATAAGGGTCATCACCTTTTTAGCAGAGCCTCCTGGACATAGCAATGGCACCCTCTGCTGTCCAGACTTATGTTTTCAGGAAAAGACCAGAGAAGGGATCTGGATTTGAAATGAAAAAACCAGTAGGTACCAAGTGTGGATTTTCACTCCCTAGGAATCAGTTCTAGTGCTTTCTCCTTCCCGTGATCTCTGGAAGTATATGTGGCCATCATGCCATCTTGTGCTTCTGGGGCCTTAGGACTGTGCTGGGTCATAATTAGGGATGTGGTGTCCACAGTAGAAAGTTTGGATGGGCTCAGGCATGAGGTACCTTCAATCTGCAGGACTGTTCTTGGACGATGAGAAAACAGCAGTATCCAGAGCCATCACCGGATGGAGATCAGAAATTTCTCAACCCTGAAACCCAAGATCCTCCCTGGAACAGACACAGAATCTGCACCCATTTGTATGAGACTCTGGTGGCCTTCTGTTTTGCCTGCAGATGATGTGGGCACACTCCTGACCCTGACTTCAACCCCACATCTGGTTTTTTCTTGTTGTTTTAAAAGCACCCACAACTGTTTTCCCTCCACAGTGGCCTGAGCCGTGCCCCTGCCAGCTCAGATGACTCTCCTCTAGTCTCCCGTAGGTGGGAGGAAAAGGATGGCTTTTCTCCCAGACACCTTGCCTGAGGGTTTTGCCCCGGGAAAGTTCACTGTGGATTAGGAGAGAATGAGAAATGACAACAGAATGTTCTTGGGGGTAAAAGGGTTTATACCCAGCTTTATTCTCACCGCGGTAGGTGGATCACCCCATGGCTACTAGGTTCACATCTGTATCCAGCAGTCTGCAGGTCCGTAATCCACCTCCGTCTCTGCCTCCACCCAGAGCAGAGCTCTTTATAGAGTGTCTCAGTCAGTAATAGCTCATTGCCTAGGATATGGGTGCATTATCCTAGAAGTAGGCTAATCACATCACCTAGTAGCTTATTTAGGGGAGGACACATAGGCACTTCCATTTTCCCGGCACCTGGGTTCCTTTCCCTCTGAGACCATACAGGTAAGGTCTGTGTCCTAAGTGTTTCAGTTATTTCTGAGAAAATCAATGACTTAACAAAAAAGTTGTGTGGGGGGGTGGGGGGTGGTGGAATACCTTATAGCAAATAAATACATTCTTTTTCTACCAAACATGCTGTTATGCCAAGTGTTCACCTTTAACAAACTCATGCAAGTTTAGAATTTAATTGAACATGGGTTATGAGTGCATTTTAGTTGTTGAATGTGTGATAGGAAAGCCAAAGTAAACAGGGTGCTTTATAGGTGACATCTGTGGTCCTCATGTGCTCTCAGAGGCCTCAGGTTTCTCCCTTCAGTCAGTAAATGTGCCACTTGGTACTGCTGAGTATGAAAGGTCTGGCAGGTCTCCTTCACTCACTGACGGGCTGGAGCAGCATGTGTGGGGCCTGAGTTCTGAACGTCTGCACTGTGCTGTGCTAGCTGGCCCTATCAGCAGTGTCGCTCACCCCTTCTCTTCTGAGTCATTCACTCCTTAACTGCCACCAGCTGGTGCCATGTGTGGAGGCACCTGCAGCAGCGTGCACTTTTCCACAAAGCTGCGCCATGGATTTCAGGTTTGGGAGGCCATCCAAGCCCCTTCTTGTCTTCAGTTGCTGTCTTCCCTCATATAGAGAGATTTGCCTTTTGAAAGAATGCAATAGCATATAAAATATATGAATATAAACTTCAGTAGAAGGAGCAAGTGATCATTTTACACGAGGCAAAAGGGAGCACAGTGATTGAAATTGTGAATGAAAAGTAGCTCATTAATTTAATAATTGAAATATGTAAAAATATTACACAGTTCTGTGCTAATAAGCCTTAGAAGCTCTGTGAAGTAATCCTGTGACCAAAAAAAAAAAAATGCTGAATATTCAAAAAACAGCAAGACAGTTTCACAACAAAATAAAAATTAAAGGAAGTACAAAATTATCTTCCTTGTGCATTGGGCCTTAGGTGCACTGATCCTTGGGGAGACACAGGCTTCTGAATTAGTTCTGCAAGTAGAGGCTGGCAGAGAAAGGAGCGCTGTGGCTTTGCTCTGGGTAAGTGTGGGAACTATGGGGATTCGATGGGAGGAAGGCCAGAGGGATCTGGGAAAGCTGGCACTTCACCCCTGAGCTGGTGTCTCTATAGCTGGTGTCCTTATCATCCAGATAATTCCCCAGCTCTCTGCCTGTGTAAGTCTTGCTGATTTACCCTCACCTATCTCTTGTGGCCTGTCTTCTGTTCACCTAGAGCTGCGCACCCAGTCCCAGGGAACTATTTGCAGGTTCCTGAATATACCAACCTTGCTTATCCTTCCACCCAGGCCATACCTGCCTCCCAGAAGCACAGCTCAGGTGAGAGTGATGCAACAAAGGAATTCTGTTCTTTTTTTTAATTTTGGTATCATTAATCTACAATTACATGAGGAACATTATGGTTACTA